GGCTTTGAATACGTAAACTGGTGCAGCATACTTGAATAGAAAACAGCAGTATCCAAAGACAAACAGTTAATACAGAATAATTAGGGCTCACATTACATGCACAAACACAAGTGCCTATAGAGAGAATGATGTGTACTTTTGGTGCAAAATCGATCTGTCTTGTTTCAAAAGATGGAAATATTTTGAATATTACTGAACCAACCCATTGATAAAGGTTTCAGCTCATTTTCCTCGTACACTGAGGTAACGACTGGTCGTTTCAAAGGAGGTGATCTTGAGCGATTTGACACACCTGCGCCACTGATCATTGGACCAGCCATTGCGTAGCCATGCATGTACGAGTCGGATGCGGTACTGCCCTAAACAAGGTAAAAAAGGGATTGACCTGTTCCAAATGGAGAGAGAAGGGGGCACGTACCAGGACAGCGCGACCAGCAGATGGACGTGACTGAGCAATCACTTGCTCGAACATGCTGTTGAAATCCTCATTTGAAAGATCCACGGTGCTCAGCTCGTCAACGCCAAACGTTGTACCTTCCAGTGAAGTCCCAAGATTATCTGAAATACGATTTTAGAACCACTTGCGCACAGCTGCAAATGGGTAACCTCACCATAGGCACCATTTCGAGAAACATAAGGAGCGCGAACAGCTATTGAATCGAGGTTTGGCTCTTCAAACGGTATATCTTCTGTAAATCACAGTTTCATTAACGTACGTTGAGCATGTACATCGAACGGTACCAAAGGTAGGGGTACTATGGGCCGTGGCGGAGGGATAAACGGTCATTGTTGGCAGACTTCCGTGGGTGGAGGACCTAGCAATGGCAGCAGACAAAGAGGAGAGCAGACTTGAGGTGTCATCGCGTGTTCCAGTGAGCAGATTTGACGACAGTGAGACAGCATCTAGATAAACAGGAGAGGTAGGGTGTATCACAAGATGAGTAAGCGACAAACGATCTTTCCCGGAAGGGAATGATAGCAAATTTAATAATGTTCGAACTCATAACACTCCAGAAATCTTTGTGCAAAGAGCGCAGAGCGTAAACTTCGAAGATAAGGCAAGTCATGATAAAAAAATCAGTGCTCTCAAAGCACGCAAAAGGCACGCGCCATACTTGATCCGCTTAATTCGCTTGATCCGCTTAATCCGCTTCGTCACTGGTCAAATCAGCGATCGACCAATAGCG